TTATGTTTCTGTTGTTTAAGTCATTAATTTGTTACACTAGCACTAGCAAATGAAGATACTTAGATTGGCTGCATCATTTGGAGGGAGTAGCAGACATGCTGTTTTTTTGAATATAAGTATCCTAATTTATGTAGCTGGTCCATATTTGTGTAATGTCCTAACTCTTTTATATTTAGAGAAAAATGCCACAAACATCACTCTCTGGTTGTAAATATGTGCTATTATTTACTTAGGGTGTTTAAAAAGTGTTTGTTCTGTAAAAGAGTATACATGTAGAATATCAGTAGGTGCTGAAGGGACATGAGATCACAGCTTCTCCATGTTTCTACTTTCTGTGTGGTGACAGTGAAAAACGGCTCACTAGAGGAGTTTTTTATTTCTAAGTGACCTAGATCCATTTAACTAAGAATGTCTAAATGAAGATTTGATTAATGGAGGCACAATTCCTTTTTTAGTTAGGGTTATCATGAAGTTGGTCAAAAAGTTCGTTTTGTAAGGATGTTGGGAAAATTAGAAGTTTAACCACCATACTTTGCTTGTTCTTATTCCTATTTGAGAAGCTAAGTCATACACAGTTCCTAGTGATGTCATCTCATATAATTATTGAATGTTGTATATTATGTGAGCATGTGAGTAGGAAGAAATTTCAGTTCAGCTGTTGATTTTGGTTTCAATTGCAATGAATAATGTTTGTTTAAATCTGAACCTATCTGTGGTAATATACTGATTAAATTGTCATGTGTGATATAATCTAGTACATGGTATAAAGTTGACCTAGTGCTTGTGGACTCAGTAATAACACATTCTTCCAAGTGTCAACTCTATGATTTATTTGTGTAATTTTCACATTTTACTTTGCTGTCATGGAGCTGGCAGAAGTCTGTGTCCCTGGAGAGTACTCTTTAATTTTTAATTTAATTTTGTTAATGATAATTTTGCTTTTCATATTGACTGAAATGCTTTTGTTACATACTTGTGAAAGTTAGTTTAAAGCTAATGCCATTGGCAAGTAAGAGAGAAAATTTAATAAAATATAAAAATGGCAAAAATATATTCATTTAATATAAATCATAGAATAATTTTTGAATGAATCATTTATAGGTATCTCCCAGGGCACTATAAAACTCTACAATGAGATTTGTTCTCAGATGCATCTTCATTTCTAGAAATTAAGGCTGCATTTCTTTTTTTTTTTCCAATATAAAACAGAACTTAAGCAGAATTTATTGGCCTTCCCAGTTGCCAGAATCTAACAGTATCATTTCCATAAACTCACATAATGAAACGCTGTGATGCAGACTTCAGGCACATTGACCCAATATTAGCCAAAAATGAGAGAATTTGAATCCACATGGTTATAGGTCTTGGCAGCAAGTGAATATCTTGTCCCCTCCACTCTCCCAAGATGCTTGAATGTTATGCAGTTAAGGGTACATTGTCAGTCTGATCAATTGAATTTTAAAAATTTTATTCTGATCCGAGGTTTTAAAATGCAGAGGAAAATTTATTCTTCAGTTGTACTAGAGAGGTAAAAAGATCTTGCATTTATTGAAATAATGTGTTTTATCCATTTGTTCACTAAGTGAATAGAAATTGGCTATGTGAAGGATTCTTAAGTGCTCCTGACAATAAGCAATGCATTTGTCATAGTTTTATCATGTTGTTTAGTTACAGATGAAGTCCCTTGTTTCACATTATGTAAATCTAATAGTCATGTTGTACCCTCATGCATTATGATATGATGTATTGTACATTTAGAAAAAGCTCTAAAAAAACTCATAAAATCTTTTCTCTACATCTGAATATACTTTATACTCAGCAATTCTTGGCCCTAAGGTGAAGACTTGATTTTATGTGGTTCTTTAATTTTCTGCATTACCATGTTGTTTAATATCATCTGTTTTGGGTGTTTCTCTCTCCTTTTGTTTGCTGGCACAAGCACTTGCAAAATAAAACTACCCCTTATTTAATACAGTTCCCCGAGCTGCTTCCTCACTGATCTTGGGACCTATATCACTTTATAGAGGTAACTGTGTATCATCCTCTTTTCTGCCTTCATTTAATAACCTTTTTTATTTATCTTTGTACCTTTCTTCTTATCTGGAGTTAGACATGTAAGAGGCCCTAATGAATCCTAACACATCCAATTGTGTGGGTTGTGGACTACACAACAGTAGAGGGAACTGTTTACATTGTTGTGCATATAAATATACCCCTATATCTGGTAGTTTACATGTAACAAAAAATGTCAGCAGACCTTTTTCATTCTGCCTCTTCTATAATTATATTCAGACTCTGAATATGTTTCAATACTGGGCGGGGCAGTATATTTCTACATTGTTTAATGTTGGTTATGAACCACAGAGATCAACTGTTCTCTAGGTAAGCACCAGAAAAGAAGTCCTTTTGATTCATTTGATAGGTGGAGAAGATTATGTATAGTCCTAAGAGTCGAAGGAAGACCCATAGAACAAGGCGTCAAGAAAGAGAGTGAAGAGGGAAACTCTGAAATCTCAAGCAGTAGGTTTGGTTAACTCAGGGTCACTCAGAATCTCTTTTTGATTCAGGACCATTCACATTCTATTATTGACTGTAGATTTTCTGAAAAATTGGGTTACAATCTGGGGGTAAAATCTGTGATTAGAAGCTGGTAGTCAGAATATAGGGTATATTGGTAGGTTTCCCAATGAAAAGGTGTTTGGGATTGGGATGTTTATAGTTTGCTTTTACCTCTGTGACAATCAAGGAATAACCCAGCTTTTAAAAAACCTTTGATCATTACCTTGCGTACAACTGTTCTAACTGAGGGCTGTCTTACTTAAACTGGATTTATAAGGTTTCTTGTTTCGTATCTTGAATATTGAAGGGAATGTCAATAGCTAGTTCAACATAGGATAATTTGTTTCTCTTTCCTCTTTTATTTAGAGTTGTCTTACTTGATTTTGGTATGTATTTCCAGAAAGGTCACTTTTTGCATCAAAAAGAATAAATAGTAAAGCCCACAACAATAATGGACAATCTGATTATTTTAGTCTTCAAAAATTCTTTTTCTTTGGTATTTGCCTTTTAATTATTAACAAATATGTATCTACTTTGCAACAGGAATTCAGTTATAACTATAGACTTCTAAGGCATATGCAATCAATGTTAACAGGATTACATCTTCAAGATACAAAAGAAAAATTTATGTATGGAGTGAAGGTTAATGTATGTAAATGGTGACAGTCATAGTTCAGTTATCTGGGATGGTTTACCTAGTTAATAGATTTAGCAGAATAAAAAATATTTGAGAAAAACATTAAAATTTTTACAAATTAATGAAAACAATGTTCTCTATAGCACACTGTAGCACTATATTATGTCTGCTACATTGGGGAATTTCTGCCCCCTTGCAGTTAGATGAGATGAGACCTCAGCAGGCACTCTCTAAAGCAAAGGTATCTCTGACTTAGGAAGGCAGAGACAGGAGAGAGTATTAATGCATTATTATTACTATATTATTATTAATATCAGACACAACAGACTAACAGAAAACATTTGAAGGAATTAGTAAAGTTTTTACACAGTGATAAAAATAGTTATTTAAGGGCCTCCCCTGCTGGTGCAGGCGGTTGAGCGCTGCGCTGTGAAGCTGTCTGCAGCCTCTGCAGTGTTGGTTCAATTGCAGCCGGCCGGCCAGCTGGCCAGCGAGGGTCCCACATGGCACGACAGACCTCTCCTGCAGCACCGGCTGCTCCCCTCAGCAGTGTATTTGTCAGTCAGCCTGTTCTGTTCCCCTCTCTGGCTCTGGTGAATTCTCTCACCCTCCCGCCCTTCTGACTGTACACAGTGCTTGTATAAATTAAAAAAAAAAAAAAAAAAAAAGAACAAACAAAAACCAAAACACCAGCAAAACATAACATCAGCAACTAACTTTTGAGAGCTTAAGTGTCTGGCATTGTTTTAATTGTTTCATATATGTTTACTAATCCAGCATACACACTAAACCTATGTTTGATATGGATTAAATTAAACTCTACAGTAAGCCTATGTGGTGTATCTATAACCTCCATAAACACAAGAATGTTAGATTGTATGAAGTCATATAATTAGTAAAAGATAGATTAAAAGTTCTGCTCTCATATAATCTGCCTCAAAAAGTCATAAATCTCAGAGGATGCTCTCCGAGATATAGAAGTCAAATAAAGAACAAATTATAGAATATTATTCATGGTTAGAACCCACTTATACAAAAATACTAATTTCCTCATGCACCTATTAAAATAATTATAACTGGTCTTTTGAAAGTTTTACTGGTGTTATGATATAAAATGTTATGTTGTTTTAAATTGTACTTATGACATTTAAATCTTCAATCTGGAAATTATTTTGTTTATGTGAAATAGAGATCTTACAGTATTTTTCAAAGAGAAAGCCATGTCCCACACCAATTTCTATCCCTTTTGTAATAAGAAATGAAATCCTATAAAATTGAAAACAAGGTGGAATGTTAGTTTTGAAATATATGTTTATGAAATCAGTCAACATATTTTAGGATTTTATCAGGTATAAATGTGAAAGTTCTCATATTAAAATTAAAAATTAGTTAATGTTATCCTCATTTTTAATTTTTTTATCCTTCAAGGTAAAACATGTGGTTCACTCATTTAACTATTAAGAGTCACATGATGTCTGGTTTTTTTTTTTTAGATTTATTTATTTATTTATACAAGCACTGGGTACAGTCAGAAGCGCAGGAGGGTGAGAGAATTCACCAGAGCCAGAGTGGGGAGCAGAACAGGCAGAAGGACCGAAGTTCACTGCTGAGGGGAGCAGTGGGCGGCAGGAGAGGTCTGCGTGCCATGTGGGACCCTTATCTGGTGGCCAGGGATCAAACCGGTGCTGCGGAGGCTGCGGGCAGCTTTGCAACCCAGTGCTCAACTGCTGCGCCACCGGGGAGGCCCACATGATATCTGTTTATGAAAGTTTATATTTACCTTGATTTTCTATTTTTCTTCTAGGAAAGATTTCTGTGTACACAAGGATGAGCCATGTGATACTGTTGGTAAGTGTGCTTCAAACTTTTACACTTTTCAGGATTTCTGGGGACCTTGAACTTGTTTGTTGAAATACTGTAAATTATTTGAGAATGCTGACTTGAACGAAACTTTTTTAGACTACCACCTATATGTTTAATGATTTGTCAATACTTCACTTATTAATGAAACAACTAAAAGACAAATAAGCACAGTATTGGGGGTAAATTTTGAATGATGATTTAAGACTATCTTGAGGTCTTGTTCTTTTTCTGAAGATACACACAGAGGTTCCATAAAATTCTAGTATTATAGATAAACCAAGACTATATCAATGACAGTATAACTGATCTTTTTCTGGCTAAAAGCAGACTGTGACAAAGAAATTCTATCTAATTTGCTTGTCTTATGGGAATTTCCTGTATATAAAGTTCTAAAGTTCCTCTGTTCTGTAGTGGATAACTGAAATCATGAAAACATAATCATATCAATAAAATCCATGAAACCAGTTCTTAATTTAAATAGAATGCCACATCCTTGCTAATAAAAATGCATAGGATTCAATTAAACTATTATCTATAGATACATACTTATATATGGACATATAGACATAAAACTAGAAATAAATTATGAACTATTTAACCATATAAAACTATATAAAGAGTTATGTGAATATATATTTACATATGTATAGTTTTACATCATGTAATTAATTGCATATGATAAAGTATTACTGGTAATATATGTATCTAAGAGTCAGAATCTGTTTTTGACATACCATGTAGGGTTCATTTCTGTGGGCTAAAGTATTTTAATGTTACCTCCTTTGAGGTATCATTTGTTCTTTGTAAGATGAAGAATAAAAAAGGGAGTGAAGTCAGAAAAAGAGTTTTGTGTATTTTTAAAAGTAATGCTAGCTAGTCCCATTTACTTAATGTCTCTTCACCGACCTCTGATAATTGAACTATTAGATAATAAAAAGAAAACTGTTGTAACAGTGTAATGAATAAGACTATAAAGCAGACATGATGAAATAAAAAAAAATGATTCAGAAGGGTTTATAAGGATAAAAAGAAAGCACCTAAGGAAAAGCTCAGTTGATTCAGTGATCTTCTTGCATTCACTCACTTACCTGCTTCCTGCAGTTTTATTCTTCTCTTCTTACCTGAATCTCCCAAGATTAAATCTTGATATATAATCAACCTAACCATGGAAGCTTTTGATTATTGGTAAAGCTTGTCTTGAAACAAGCTCCTTTTGTTCCACTTAAACCACTGTGTTTCCCCTAAAGCCTTCTTAATATAGAAAGAGCAACCCTTGATCATTTGTGCCCCTGAGAGAAATCAGCAGTTTTGGTAGCACCTTCTGTAACTATGCACATAATCGGATCTTGCTGTCATGAGCAAGTCATCATGTGAGGCAAACCAGTTTCTGCTTTGATGATGTCTGTATTTCACGTCTTGCTAATTATGTTTGAAAATAGCACATATATTCAGGATATACAGTATCTAGACAACTTGGTTTATGGCTTAAAGAACATTTGAGTCAGTACTTTGGCCTGCTTGTGCAGAGTGTGTACAATTCTCTAGGGAAGTAGGGTAATCAGACACCAGCTTGGTTCAGCCTGTCCATTAGAAGCTTGATAAAATAAGTTTTAATATTAAGCATAAGATGTGGAAAGTCCAGTTCCCTTCCTGAGATTTCTCTATTTCTGGCATCACTGACTGCTAGCTCTTCCCTCTGTATCTTACATCAGTTTGTTTTTTTTTTTTCTCAGCCTAAATATGGGACAAGGGTATTTTTTTCTACTTAGTATTGTACAGCATAAAAATTTGAAATATTTCTGCAAGAGAGACAAAATGAAAACTGTTAGCCAACAAGTCAAGAGTAGTCACTTCTTCCTAATCCCTACTCCCTTGTGTCACACTAGCTACCCTTATTCTCTGGAGACATACACATTGATAATGTTTATAAAGGCATTTGTGGAAATTGGCCATGTGGTTGCTACTACATCATTCTTGCATCACCCACTGTGTAGCCATGATGTTGTGGAGGGAAGGGTACTCCTCCTGTGGCGGGTTGTGATTAGTCTAGCTTAACCAAGAAGAACATGGCTTTGCCCTGATTGGGACATGTGATCAGGTACCTGTGTTTGCCTCCTTGCACTAAAGAAAGGAATATTTTTTTCATGGATGAAGACTGTTCTGTGTCCTCACCGGATGTAAACAAGGAAGGATGCAAGTTTGATCACTAAAGTCACAAGAAAAAGCATCCTATGAATGACTCTGAACTCATAAGCCATCCAAGGGAGGGGTGAGAGGCACATTTCTCCTCTGTGATATTGTTTATGTGTGTCTTTTTTTCATTGAGTTAATATGGGTTACATTATTGTTCCCATTATACAAGTGTAGGCCCCTCCTTCAGGCATTGCCATGTGCCACCTTAGCAGACCCTTATGCTTCCTCCCTTTGTTCTTTCCCTCCCCTTCTCCCGCTCCACCTCTCTGGTGGCCCCCATTCCATAGTCAGCTTTCAAGGGTTAGTTTTTTTAAATTTGGCTTTATCCAACTCTTTGTTTGTTCTTCTACATTCCACGTATAAATGACACCAGCTGGTATTTGTCTTTCTCTTTTTGACTGATTTTGCTTAGCATTATCCCTTTCAGCCCTGCCCATGTTGCCATGAATGGTGATAGTGTTTTACTTTTTTTTTTTTTGACCACTGAGTAGTATTCCATCTACCACATCTTCTTAACACATTCATCTGTTTGGGGGAACTTAGGTTGTTTCTATCTCTTTGCTATTGTGAACAGTGCTGCAGGGAAAATGAGAGTACAAGTTTCCTTTTAAATTAGTCTTAGGAGTGGTATTGCTGGGTCATCCGGCAGATATATTCCATAAATGCAGTAAGTTTAGCATTAGACTGTCTTATTTTGTAACTATAATTCAATTTAATAAAACTATATGATAATTCTAACAGATAATGAAACTATCTTTCATAAAATTCACAGCACATTTATGATTAAAAACTGAAGGCACAATAGGAACTTTAGTAGGAACTTTATTAACCCAATTAAAGGTATTTATAAAAATACATTAATGTATTTTTAAAAAAATAGTGAAGCATTAAAAGCATTTCTTTTAAAATCAAAAATAAGGAGCAGAATATACTATCAGTACTTCTGTTCAATGTTATGGAAATTTTAACCTTTAAATTTAAGTGGATAATTTGGTTACATTTTAAATAAACATAGAAAATATGAAGTTAAATTATTAGAATTAACCAAATGAGGTGATTAGATAAAAATCAATAATTTCAAACCAATTGCATTTTATCTACTAGCAATAATAGGCGGTGAGATAATTTGATTCAAAAATACTATTTACTAAGACATCAGTGTAAAAAAAATAATAACAGTACAAAACACAGCAAAGCAAAAACAGACAATTATAAATCAGAGACATACTGCAGGGAAGAAGGAGGGAGAGGGGTCAGAGGGAGGGAGGGAGGAGCACAGGGGACTGAGGTGATGGTGCACGGGTGCCTTGGGGAAGGAAACTATGGGGACTACACCTGAGGGGGAGGAGGGAAGCAAATATTGTTTAAAAATGAACAACGATGTAAAAAAATTTAAAAAATTAATTAAAAAATAAAAATTTAATTTAAAAATCCTTATTAATTGCTAAAAAACCAAAAATACTGTTTACTATTTGGAAAATTTAAGTTCTTTGCTATATTTAAAAACAAGTGGATAAGACATTTAGTGAGAAGTGTATTTATTTTGCAATTCAATGAAAAAGACATAAATCAATGAGCTGTCAATAAGCTGTCTTCATGATCTGAAGAACTAATGATAATACTAAGGTCATTAATTGACCTTGATCGTATTCCCATAAAAATTTAACAGAATTTTGGAGAACAGATGACAGTTATTTTGAATCTTATGTGGAGAAGCATAGGCTTAAGAATTGTCAAGGTCCTAGTGGAGAAAGAATGAAGGGGGAATATGCTCTATCATGCATTAAGATGTAGTTTATAATTAATAGGACAGAGCAGTGGCACATAAGAAAGTCATCTATGAAGCAGAGCATCACGAGTGAAGGGAAATTATATTAAGATAGTTGATAATCCACCTAGAGAAAAGTGGGAATCAACCCCATGTAGCTTAATTTTTTAAAAAATGCAAGATGATAATAGGAAAATAACTTTCCATGGAGAATTGATGTTGTAGTTACAATGACTCCCAGAAGCTGCTTAAGAACAATCTAAGAGGCTGTTCTGTAGATGACTAAGTTATCTATAGGTTTAAGCTAATAATTTTTCAGATGTTTTTATGTTAGTACCTCTTTGCAATCTTGAGAATTGTTGATGACCCCAAAATACTTTTCACATAGGTAATATTTATCAGTTATCACCATACTAGAAATTAAATCTGAGAACTCCTTTTATAATTTTGATATGACAGACTGGTTTTTATGTTTTTGTTGAGGTAACTTTGGTTTATAACATTGTATATAATTCATAGGAGGAGGATATACCTTTTCAGATATGTTACCTCATCACACTCACCACCACGGCACATAAAAATGTTTCAATTGCTTTAAAATTAACCGTGATGTACTCACCAAATGTCACCATAGAGAGCAGGTTTTTAGTGACATCTTTAAAAAAATTGCAGAACATGACTTTTTAGTATTTTTGTAAATGTATTTTTGTCTGGCTTTTAGAAGATAGCTGGAATCTCCTCTCTACTTCTGCATATAAGATGCTGCTGTATATTATTTTTATTGAAGGTTGTGAGCAAAGCTGGCTTCATAAAGATATATAATAGGAAAATCTATGAGTATTTTTAGATTTATGGGGGTATTCTTTTCTTTGAAAGTACATTATAACCAGAAGTGGTAGTATCTCAATATTTACTTGATTATAGTGATGTAATATCTGAAAACATATTGATATATTTTTATACTTTGTCACATTAATATTTATTGTGACTGTTTTAGCTATGTATGGCTTTTGTGCATCATTCA